AGGCTCTTGAGATTCTTGAATTTCTTTTTTATAAGTTGAAACACCAAAGATCATGCGAGATTCTTTAAATTCTTCCAAAAATAAATCGCCAGGGACCCCTAAAATTCTTGAAATTTTTTCAAACATAAACACGGATCCTTGAGCTTTTTGAAATTCTTTCAAAAATCAAGCACCAGAAGCCTTTGAGATTCTCAATTTTTTTTTAAAATAGAATTCCAAAGGCCTCCGAAAAACTTTAAAAGTTATTCGAAAATAAAACACTAGAAGTTCCTGAGATCATTGAATTTCTTTATGTAAATTGAAACACCAAATCTTCCACGAGATTGTTTAAATTCTTTCGAAAATAAAGCCTCTGAGCGTCTTTTTTTTTAATAGAACATCAAGGATCCCGCGAGATTCTTTAAATTCTTTCAAAAATAAGACACTAGGGACTCCTGACATTCTCGAAATTCCTTCAAAAATAAAGCCCTAGAGCCCTTTAAATTCTTTTAAAAATAGAACAGCACGGGCTTCTGAGATTTTTTAAAATTTGTTCAAAATTTAAACATTTCATGTCCCTGAGATTCTAGAATTTCTTTTTTAAATTGAAACCCAATAGGTCCCGCGAGATTCTTTAAATTCTTTCAAAAATAACACATCAGGTACCCCTGAGATTCTTATAATATTTTCAAAATTGAAGCACCAGAGACCTCTGAGATTCTTTTAAAAGTATAACACCAAAATCCTCTTAGATTCTTGAATTTTTTCTTTAAAATGAAACATCAAAGTTCTCGCGAGATTCTTTAAACTCTTTCAAAGTAAACATAGATGCATAAGCTTTTTGAAATTCTTTCAACAATGAATCGCTCGAAACCTTTGACATTCTTAAATACTTTTCAAAATAGAACACCAAGGGCTTCTGAAGTTTTCAAAATTTGTTCACAAAATAAACACAAGAGGCCCCTGATATTCTTAAATTCTTTTAAAAATAGGATACCAAGGGTTTCTGAGATTCTTTAAAGTCCGTTCAAAAATAAAATACTTGAGACTCCTGAGTATCTTGAATTTTTTTTATGAATTGAAACGCCAAATATCCCGCCAGATTCTTTAAATTCTTTCAAAGTAAAGCATCAGAGGCCTTTGGGAATTTTAAATCCTTTTAAAAATAGAACAGCAAGGGCCTCTGAGATTCATTAAAATTTGTTCAAAAGTAAAACGTTTCAAGTCCCTGAGATTCTATATTTTTTTTAAATTGAAACACCATAGGTCCCACGATATTCTTTAAATTCTTTCAAAAAAGAACACCAGGGACCTCTGAGATTCTTAAATTCTTTTAGGAATAGTACACCAAGGGCCTCTAAGATTCTTCAAAACTTATTCGAAAATAAAACACTAGAGGCTCCTAAGATTGTTGAATTTCTTTTTGTAAATTGAAACATCAAATCTCGCACGAGATTGTTTAAATTCTTTCGATAATAAAATACCCAGGCGCACTGAAATTCTAGAAATTATTTCAAAAATCCTCTGAGATTTTTAAATTCTTTTAAAAATAGAACACCAAGGATCTCCGAACTTCTTTAAAATTAAAAAAAAAATAAAACTCTTGAGGCTTCTGAGATTCTTGAATTTTTTGTGAATTGAGACACCAAAGATACCGCGAGATTCTTTAAATTCTTCCAAAAATCAAACATCAGGGACTCCTGAGACTCTTGAAATTTTTTCAAAAATAAAGCACCAGAGACCTTTGTGATTCTTAAATTCTTTTAGAAATAGAACATCAAGGGCCTTTGAGATTCTTTAAAACTTATTCGAAAATAAAACACTACAAGCTCCTGAGATTGTTGAATTTCTTTTTGTAAATTGAAACACCAAACCTCCCACGAGATTCTTTAAATTCTTTCAAAAATAAGACACCAAGACCCTCTGATGTTCTTGAAATTTCTTCAAAAATAAAGCACAAGCTGCCTCTAAGATTCTTAAATTCTTTTAAAAATAGAACACTATGGGTTCCTGAGCTTCTTTAAAATTTGTTTTAAAATAAAACACTTGAGGCTCTTGAGATTCTTGATTTTTTTATGAATTGAAACACCAAAGATCTCGCGAGATTCTTTAAATTCTTTCAAAGATAAAACACCAGGGACTCTTGAGATTCTTGAAATTTTTTAAAAATAAAGCACCGGAGGCCTTTTTGATTCTTAAATTCTTTGAAAAATAGAACACCATGGACCTCTGAGATTCTTTAAAATTTATTCGAAAATAAAACACTTGAGACGCCATCTGAGAATCTTGAATTTTTTTAATAAATTAAAACACCAAAGATCCCTCGAAATTCTTTAAATTCTTTCAAAATAAAGCATTAGAGGCTTTTGAGATACTTACATTCTTTTAAAAATAGAACAGCCTCTGAGATTCTTTAAATTTTTTTCAAAAATAAAACGTTTCAGGTCTCTGAGATTCTAGTTTTTTTTTATTGAAACACCATAGTCGCACAATGTTCTTTAAATTCTTTCAAAAAAGAACTCCAGGGACCTCTGAGATTCTATAAAATTTCTTCTAACATAAAACTCTTCAGGTTCGTGAGATTCTTGGAATTGTTTTTTTTAAATTGCAGCATCAAAAACCTCGCGATATTCTTCAAATTCTTTCAAAAATATAAGTCTGGACACTCCTGAGATTTTTGAATCCTTTCAAAAATGAAACACCAGAGGCCTCTGATTCTTAAGTACTTTTAAAAATAAAAATCCAACGGTCTCTGAGATTCTTTAAAATTTGCTAAAAAATAAAACACTGGATTTTCGTGAGATTCTTAAATTTCTCTTTTTAAACTGAACCACCAACGACCGTGCGAGATTCTCTCAATTCTTTCAGAAATAAAACACCAGGGATCTCGGAAATTCTTGAAATTCTTTCAAAAATAAAGCATCAAAGGCGCTAAGATTCTTCATTTCTTTTAAAAATAGAACACCAAGGTCATCTGAAATTCCTTATATTCTTTCAAAAATTATGGACAAGAAGTCTGATATTCTTAAATTCTTTTAAAAATAGAACACCAGGACCTTCGAGATTCTTTAAAATTTCTTCAGAAATAAATCACTTGAAGCCCATCAGATTCTTGAATTTCCTTTTTTTAATTGAAACACCAAAGGTCCCATGAGATACTTTAAATTCTTTAAAAAATAACACCAAAGGCCTTTGAGATTATTAAATTCTTTTAAAGATAAAACACTAAGGGCCTCTGAGATTCTTGAATTTCGTTTTTTTAATTGAAATACCAAGTCCAACGAGATCTTTAATTTTTTTTGAAAAATAAAACACCCGGGGGTCTTCCGATCCTAAATATTTTCAAAACAAAACCCTGGGCGACTCTAAGCCTCTTTAAAATTCTTTAAAAAATGAAACAACAATGGGTTCCGAAATTGATAACTTCTACTAAAAGTAGAACAGCCTGAGATTATTTGAGATTTTTCACAAATTAAACACCAGAGGCCCGTGAGATTCTTAAATTCTTTTAAAACTGAAACACTAAAGATCTCCTAAGATTCTTTAAATTCTTTAAAAAATGAAACAAAATCATAAACATTAGTAATCAGGTAATCAGTCGGTATTTCTAAATGACAAGTGCTAATCTACCAAAATTTTAGGCTAATGTTATCAAATTTTTATAAGGGATTTACACATACATTTTGATTAGCGATTTACCATGTTTATGTTGGCCTCAAAGTGTGTACAAAATTTCAGAGGAATCCGATATGTAGTTTCTAAGTTATATTTTAAAATTTTGTTGTAGGTATTTTTTTTTTTATTGTAAATGTCAAGTGCAATAAATAAGGGTAGATTATTAATCAAAAGCATAAAAACATATTATTTTGTAAAATTTATATTCATTTTACTTAACAAAATTTTGATTATAATAAGTAATATATACTTGAAATTTTACATCAATCAGTCCAGTAGTTTATCAGTTATTTTTTCACTAAATCATCAACATCATCATTTTTTTATTGATTGCCTAGGATTTAATACAGTCATTAATCTGTTCTTATTTTAAAATAAGTATGTTTATTTAAAGAACAATAACATTGCTTAAAATAGTTCAAAATTCGATCATCTCTCTTAGTTCTGATTGTGTGCTAATTTTGTAATTTTGCTCAAATATAAATATATTCATAAAAATACACAATTTCTTTAACAATTTATGACTTCTAATAATGTTTTTTTGGACATTTTTCACAAAGCTAGTTTGTAAATTATTTTTAAGCCCGGCGCATCCACCATTTTTACAAAAATGTTTCAATTGAATTTCGATCGGCAAATGTTTCTATCTGATATCCTTACTTGGAGAAAAAAAACTTGCTCGTAATAGTTGTATCGTCGGGAGTGTGTTATTTTGTAATTTTGTTAAATATAAAAATAAATAACTGACAAGAAAGCTTCAGAGCTGCTTTATTCCACGAGAAATTAAGTATCGGCAAAGAGCAATTAATTTTTCCTTCTCCCTCCGGAATAATTAAAGCGGCGAGATTAGACGAGATTATCCGGACTTAAGCCGGATCTGGCAATTTGCCGCCGCAGACCCTGACCTCGACCAACACCGCCCGCTTTCCTCCTCGTCGAATTCCTCGCGCTTTTTCAAATTACGCATTCACGCTCCTATCGAAAGACCGACGAGCCATCAAAAGCTCTCAATAAATTATGAAATATGTAAAAGTCGCCTTAAAAATTCATCCCCTCAAATGTAACACACGAACCTTACACTCGCAAATAAACAGAATCCGCTTTCACGCCAAGATTAAAATCATTTCCGAGCAAATAAGGTACATTTTAGTTATAATATTCGAGTTTACCTGACAGCGCTGTAATTAATTATTTCGACAATTTCCAAGTTTGGAGTTTCGCAATGAAATGCTCTCCCGCTTTCCGGTTATAAAGTAAACATACGATCCGTGTTTGGGGGTTAATTGTGTGCGGAAATAATTGATAAAAAAATTTGTTCGTTCGTAATTATTTTTTCTTTGTTGCAGGTCTTAGGATACGAATAGCCAATTTATTTTTTAAACTGCTCACATGTATTCTGTACATAATTCGAGTTATCACGGACCTCGATCCCACGTATGCGGCGTGGTAAGTACTTTTACTTTCTTTCTAGTTTTTTTCATTGTTGTCTATCTCTGGTATCAATGACGTGGATCGATGGAAGCCTTGATCTAAAAATAATCACAAACACCCTCACATTTTACGCTGTTCTACAAATAGGAGTTGTGGTTCATTTATGGGGTTCTGTTCAATTCTCAACAAGTTTTCTCTAAGTTGAGGTATTACGTATTTATGAAGATTCGATGAGTGACACGTGAGGAAAAATATTGGGGCAAGGTTAGACCGAGTTCTCTGGGGGAATATTTGCTTTACATCCCTTACAATGCGCGAAACGTGGCTGGGTTTCGATACGACAATCGAAGTGGATATGTTTTGTTTCGAAAGTTATATCTGGAGGTTTGAGTTGTGTTTGAACAGGAGAACGTGTTTCAGCTGTAGATGACACTTTACTCGTAACAAATGTGAGAATTCTGTAAGAATATTGCAAGTGGCAAATTTTTTTGGGTCACAGTTGGTCTAACATTATGGGTATATATCAAGTCTAGACAAACAAATTTAAAATGTCATGAACCCAGCTCGAACAATATTAAACACCGTAAAGTAACATTATCTACACCAAACTTTAGTCATTTCCGAATTGCGAATATTAGCTATATTGCATTGATTGTGCTGTAGAGGTGGAGGAAGTTCGGTGCTAATAACGTTTCAGATTGTCTAACTTTGTAGACACCAGGAGTTTCCATTTTCCCGGAAGTTAATTTATTATAATGACGTCATTAATTTTTAAGGAAACAATGCATCTGTCGCAGTCTTTTTCCTTTTTCACTGTTTGTGAGGTTAATTCATTATTAAAATTTTGAAAACTTCATAAAATTTTGTTTTACTGTGGATTATGAATCCGCCTTAATTTATGACGTGTCGGTCGTGCTGGCTCAGTTGCTTCAAGAATTCTCCTACTAAATCGAAGGTCGCAGGTTCGATCTCGTTCGAGTTCGATTTCCTCTTGCACCATTTTTACTCCAATTGGTATCGTTTTATGCTTTATAAGCTTATTTTTCATTTTTGTTTAAATATTTTATGACTAAATACTCAAATATTGTTGTCGTATTAATGAAATGATATTTTGTTTTGCATAGTGTTTATAAAAAAATCTAAAACATGTTTTATTCTTTCTCCCGATATGATACCATGTCTTTTTAAAAGTGAAAAATTGCTGAAATTACCAACTTTGCATAGAGAAAGTACTTAACAAAAAAGAAGTAAAAAAGGGGGATTTTGTTAGCTATTACGACGTCTAGAGTAAAGATAGGCACAGATTCGTGATTTTAAGAGAATTTCCGATATGATAGAGGTCTTTCTAGACCGATACAAGAGAATTTAGTATGATATAGAAGGATATAGATGGATATACAAAAGCGTAGAAGGATATAGATCAAGATAGAAGAATATGGAAGGATATAGAAAGATATTGACGGAGACAGAAGGATATAAACCGAGATAGAGGAATCTAGAAGGGTAAAGACGGATATAGAAACATATAGATGAATATAGAAGGACATAGAAAGATATATATAAATATAGAAACATATTGACGGATATCGAAAGATATAGATGAATTTAGAAGGATGTAAATGGATATAGACTCGAAATTTTGAAAATCCCAATACTGAAACATCAAAAATTAAAAAATCGAAAATCGAAAAATTCAAGAACTGGAAAACTAAAATATCGAAATATTGAAAAGTCGGGAAATCTAATAAACGGAAATTTAAAAATTAATTAATTACTCGAGAAGTTGAGAAATCCAAAAATTGAAAATTTAGAAAAGTCATAAATTGAAGAATTAAAAATCGTAAAACTGAAACACCGAAAAATGACAAAATCGGGAAATCGAAAATTTGAAGAATCAAGAAATTGAAGAATGAGAAAATTTAAAAATTCTAACACTGAAATTTCGAAACATTGAAAATCGAGAAATTGAATAATTGAAAAGTCGAAATATTGAAATCCATAAGAAAGGATGTAGAAGAATATGGACGGATATAGGAAGATATTGACGGAGATAGAAGTATATAAACCGAGATAGAAAAATCTAGAAGGGTAAAGACGGATATAGAAACATATAGATGAATATAGAACGATATAAAAATATAGAAAAATATAGAAGCATATTGACGGATATCGAACGATATAGATGAATTTAGAAGGATGTAGATTGATATAGACTCGAAATTTTGAAAAATCCCAAAACTGGACCAACAAAAATTAAAAAATCAAAAATCGAAGAATTGAAGAACTGGAAAACTAAAATATCGAAATATTGAAAAGTCGGGAAATCTAGGAAAGGGAAATTTAAAAATTAATTAATTACCCGAGAAGTTGAGAAATCCAAAAATTGAAAATTTAGAAAAGTCATAAATTGAAGAATTTAAAAATCGTAAAACTGAAACACCGAAAAATGACAAAATCGGGAAATCGTAAATTTGAAGAATCAAGGAATTGAAGAATGAAAAAATTTAAAAATTCTAACACTGAAATTTCGAAAAATTGAAAATCGAGAAATTGAACAATCGTGAAGTCGAAATATTGAAGTCGATAAGAAACGATGTAGAAGAATATGGACGTATATAGAAAGATATTGACGGAGATAGAAATATATAAACCGAGATAGAAGAATCTAGAATGGTAAAGACGGATATAGAAACATATAGATGAATATAGAAGGATATAGAAAGATATAGAAAAATATAGAAACATATTGACGGATATCGAAAGATATAGATGAATTTAGAAGGATGTAAATGGATATAGACTCGAAATTTTGAAAAATCCCAAAACTGGATCATCAAAAATTAAAAAATCGAAAATCGAAGAATTGAAGAACTGGAAAACTAAAATATCGAAATATTGAAAAGTCGGGAAATCTAGGAAAGGGAAATTAAAAAATTAATTAATTACTGGAGACGTTGAGAAATCCAAAAATTGAAGATTTAGAAAAGTCATAAATTGAAGAATTTAAAAATCGTTAAACTGAAACATCGAAAAATAACAAAATCGGGAAATCGAAAATTTGAAGAATCAAGAAATTGAAGAATGAAAAAATTTAAAAATTCTAACACTGAAATTTCGAAAAATTGTAAATCGAGAAATTGAAAAATCGTGAAGTCGAAATATTGAAGTCGATTAGAAAGGATGTAGAAGAATATAGAAAGATATTGACGGAGATAGAAGGATATAAACGGACACAGAAGAGATCTAGAAGGATAAAGAAGGTTATAAATGAATATCGAAGGATATAGACGGATATAGTAAGGCATAGAAAGATATTGACGGATATCAAAAGTTTTAGAAAGATGTAGACGAATTTATAAGGGCGGCAGAATTGTACATGTACCATATAGTATAGAAAGATATAGAAGGATTTAGATGGAGACAGAAGGATACAGATTGAAAAGGATATAGAATGGTTCAGGTGGATTTTGATGGATATAGACGGATAGAGAAAGATATAGAAGCACAGGTTTATGACCCTCTGAAAAAATATATAGAGATATAGGCGATGTATGTAGAAGGGCGTAGATAAAGGTGGAAGAATATAGACCGAAATGGAAGGATGTGAACGGATATAGAAGGATACAGAAGAACAAAGAAATATATAAATGAATTTAGAAGCATATATAATGTTACACATGGATATACAAGGATATAGAAGGTCAGATTTGTCACCATCTAGAAAAATATAGAAAGTTATAGTAGGATATAGATAGATGCATATAGAAGGATGTAGACGAATCTGGAAGGATATAGACAGAAATAGGATGACATAGGACGATGTAGATCAATATAGACGGAAGTGGAGATATATAGTAGGATATAGATGTATATAGCCAGACATAGAAGGATATGGACGGGTATAGGCGGATATAGAAAGATAGAAATGGATTTAGAAGGATATAGAATGGTACAAACGGATTTTGATAAATATAGACGGATATAGAAAGACACACAGATTTGTAATTCTCAGAAAAAATATAGAAAGTATAGTCGTATATAGAAGGATATAGACAAAGGTGGGGGATATACACCCTAATAAAAGAAAAATATAGATGGATATAGACGGAAGTGATAAGATATAATATTATATAGACGTATATAGACAGATACTGAAGGATATTAACGGATGTAGGCCGATATAGAAAGATATAGACCAATATAGTAAGATATAGACGGATATAAACCGATATAAATGAAGGACATGGATTGGTACAGAAGGATATAGACGGATATAGAAAGATTAGAAGAATATAGATTGATATGTAAGGATACAGAAGAATAGAGAAAGGTACAGAAGAATATTAAAAGATATAAATAGATCTAGAAGGATATAGAATGGTACAGACGGATTTTGATGGATATCGATTGATATAAAAAGATATAGAATTACAGATTTGTTATCCTCTAAAAATATAGAAAGATATAGTCGAATATAAAAGGATATAGATGTATATAGAAGGATGTAGACGAATGTGGAAAAACATAGACTGAAACAGAATGATAGAGGAAGATATAGATCGATATAAATGTATATAGACAGACATAGAAGGACATGACCGGATGAAGGCAGGTATAGAAAGATACAAATGGATTTAGAAGAATATAGACTGGTACAAACGGATTTTGTTGGATTCAGATGGATATAGAAAGATTTAAACGGATTCAGAAGGATACGGAATGGTACAGACGGATCTAGAAACATATAGAAGCACAGATTTGTAATTCTCTGAAAAAATATAGAAAGTATAGCCGTATATAGAAAGATGTAGACAAATGTAAAAGAATATAGACAGAAATAGAAGGAGGTGAACGGATATAGAAGGATATAGACCAATCTAGTAAGATATAGACGCATATAGAAAGACATAGGCGGATCTAGAAGGACATAGAATGGTACAGAAGAATATAGACGGATACAGAAAAATATAAGAGGATATAGATGGATATATAAGGATACAGAAAGATATAGAAGTACAGAAGACTTTGGAAGGGTTAGAAGGATATAGAATAGTACAGACGGATTTTGATGGATATTGATTGATATAGAAATATACAGAATCACATATTTGTGATTCTCTAGAAAAATATAGACAGATATATTCCAATATATAAATGTATATAAAAGGATGTATGTATACGAATTTGGAAGAAGATAGACCGAAATAGAATGATATAGAAAGATATAGATCGATATAGACGGAACTGAAGAAAGATATAATAGGATATAAACGTATATAGGCGGATCTAGAAGGACATAGAATGGTACAGACCAATATAGAAAGATTTAGAAGCACAGATTCGTAATCCTAAATATAGCAGAATATAGACGGGTATACAAGAATATAGATGAATATAGAAGTATATATACAAATTTAGATGGATATAGAGGAATTAGGAAGCATATAAAGAGATATAAACGTATATAGAATAATATCAAAGGATATAGAAAACAATATGAGACGATATCGACAGATGTATAAGGAAATAATATAATAAGATGTAGGTGGATGTAAAATGATACGGACGGATTTCGAAAAATATAGAATGGTACAGATGGGTTTTCATGGATATAGAGTGATTTATAAAAAAATAGTATGAAAAATTCGTGTTCCTGAAAAATTATATAAAAAATATAGACGAATATGGGAAGATATAGAACGAAATAGAATGATATAGGAAGATAAAGATGGAGATAGACAGATATGGAAGAATATAATAGGATATAGACGTATATAGAATGACATATAAGGATCTAGAAGGATATAGAAAGATATGGACGGATATTGAAAGATATAGATGGATTTACAAAAACATAGAATGGTACATATGGATATAGAAAAATATAGAAGCACAGATTCTTGATCATCTGAAAAGATATAGAAAAACATAGCCGGATATGGAAGGTTGCAGACGAATGTGGAAGGATATAGGAAGATATAGATGCATATAGACGGAAGTAAAGGGATATAATAGGATATAGACGTATATAGACAGGGATATGAACAGATATAGACGGATATAAAATTATACACCAGGATTTAGAAGGATATAGACGCACATAGAAATACATACACGGATCTAGAAGGTCATAAGAATGGTACGGATTGATGTAGATGGATATAGAAAAATATTGGAGTAGAGATTCATGATCCCAAGAAAAATATAGCTGGATAAAGCCGTATACAGAATGATCTAAAGAGATATGATGAGAATATGGACGGATATATAAAAGGTGATGGGAGGATACAGACCGATATAGAAGCATATAGACGGACATATGCAGATGTAAATGGATATATGTAGACGGATATAGAAAAATATAGTAGGATAAATGCATGTTCCTGAAAAAGAAATATAGAAAGTTATAGACGAATGTGAGAGGATAGAGACCGAAATAGAAGGATAGAGGAAGATGTAGATAGATATAGACGGATTTTGAAGATTACAGAAAGATAAACGCCTTTCCAGACCGATTTGAGACGTTTTAATTTTTTTTAAGGAGGACTTTTCTCCGTTATTACTGACCGTAGAGCAAAAATAAGCACAGTTTCCTTCTACTGAGAAAATTTCCGATAGGATAGGCGAAGAAAATTGGAATAACGTGATAACGTCGCATTGGAATTTAAAAAATAGAGCACAGCTTTAAAAGCTAGAATAACGTCAGTGAGAACATGTAAAAATATATAGGGTGTTCCATTTAATAAAAACTACTTGTAAGTTACTCCTCAAAAACAGAAAACAATTTTATTGTGCGCCACTCAAAAAATTGTACAACTTTGGTCTCAGATTTTTTTTATTTTCATTAATAATAATTAGTAAGATATATGTAGAGTTTATTATGAACTTCTGAAAAAATTCTTTAAGGAAGTCTAATTGAGCTACAGTTTGCAGTTACTTTGAAATATTCAAGGTGTTTCATTAAAATAACAGACACACGGATTTTTTAATGGCTAAATCGATATTTGAATTTTTTTGGAAAAATGGAATTTTAGTGTTTTTTAAAATTTGTAAATATGTTTAGATGAAAAATGTAGTTAGGACAAAATTATTGGTGCACTCTGTATACCTTGTCTGGACTGGTCTTCACCTGTCATAAAATTTTGTTGCGAACTATTTCTGAAATTATTGAAAAAAAAGTGGGTCATACAATCCTTATAATCTTTTTTTGAGACATCCTGTGTAAAACGAAGACTTGTTGAAGGTTGGCGTAATATCCCATTTCAGAACAAATTTGTAATTGTAACAAAAACATACGGAAAATTCGCACTTTCCTGTTCCATAAAAATTAAATTAAACATCTCAAATTAACTCTACTACCAAAACCAAAAAATCTAAATAAATTTGTCATGGTTTCAATTTTAGTTTTGGATGCGTTGTAACGATTCAATTTATCCAAACAGAGATTGTTTTCAGTGAAAACTAAGGGCGAGAAAGTTTTGTGTGTCAATTCAATAAAGCCTGAGAACTCGCGCAAGTGGTCTTTTCGCCAGATTTTCGCACGAACACAAATTTATATGAGAAAACTGAAAGAACATTGACAAAACTCATTTATACAGATTTTGCGAAAAATTTTCTAAAATAGAAACGTTTCTCTAATTTGCGGTTTTATTAATCCTGTTGATCCGTATTTTTTCTCTTCCAGTTACGGATGTACACCAGGCGACAAATCCGAATACATGATATCAGCCAACCTAACAGAAGAAAAATTTCAAGAAAACCCAATCATCAACTGGGATGCTATTCTGTGGGTGAACCGCCCCCTCGAACTGTGGATAGTCCAGGTTATATTGGCCATGATTAGTCTGACGGAGGCTCTTTTATTGGCCTATCTAGGATACAAGGTATATTTCTCCCCATAAACTAGACACTTCACCATCATTCCCCCGGGAGTAGTTCAATATTAAATCGAAACGCGATGTGAAACTAAACTCTAACATTTTAATCGCAAAAATAGTGCAACTACACTTCTAAGTTTTCCAGACATTTCCCGAGTGAAAACTCATAAATAATTCAAGCGCTCGTTCTTTTTTCTTCGGGTGAAGCTCTTCTAAACCGAATTAAGCTTTCTGAAAATATTGTTTTACCTAAAAGCTATAATTCATGAAAATTTCAAAGTATTGAGTTTCGTACAGGGGAAACTTAGACGTTTGAAACGCGTAATGTGATAGCAATTTACGAGGGATGAACCTTTGAGAAAAGGAAATGAATTGTGTATCGTGAAACGTCACCTTCGCCCACCTTCCGTAAACACTGGACGAAGAAAATTAATTTTAATACGGTGCTGTAAATAACGGTAATGCGGTGGTGTTTAATTCGGTTTGAGGTTGTTTTGGTGGTGTTAAAAATTCATGGTAGATCGATGGCTAATTTTTGTTTAAGAATACGCCAGGGGAGACAGAACCGGTGGAAGTCAAAAGCTTCTCTAGACGGATTAATTACTGAAGTGAGCTTGTTTTTAGGTGTTACCGGAGTCGCAGAATAAATAACTTAGTTAATGAACAAAGTTTAATATCAAGTCGTATTCAGTTTAATTTACAAGTGTTTTTCTGTTGCTGAATTCACGGCAAAACTTAGGTAACGTTCGCCAGATCCTGAAATATTTGTATGTTTTGGGCTGTGAAACGTCTAATTAGGATTTTTTAAAGGAGTAATAAAGTGATTAAATTTTTTAGGTTTCGTAGTTTCTAAAATAGATCATATAATTTTAATATTCTCCCACATTAGTAAACCTCACTTATAGAAGCTCATTATATTGCTGCTTGTGTAACAAAATCATCAATAGACAGTCCGACGGAATCAGGAGACCTACTTTTCAAATTCTAAGAGTTCTGGAACTTCAAAATATGAAATGTAGTCAACTTTATCGGTGACTGTATCGGTTAAAATTTTTGGAAAAATACTACATTATTAAAGTATATATATTATATTATATTATACCATACAAAAAATTGGTCGAAGGTTATTTCGGCAGAACTTTCCTCGCCCCTGAAAAAATCGAAAAATTGAAAAATTGAAAACTAGAAATGTCAAATATTTAAAATTCAAACATTGAAAAATCGAAAAATTCTCAAAATTGAAATCTTGGAAAATGAAGAAGTCGAAAACTTGAAAATTCGAAAAATTGGGAAGGGGGAATATCGAAGAATTGAAAAACCGAAAAATTGAGAAATCGAGAAATCAACAAATCAAAAATCAAAAATTTAAAACTTGCAAAATCGAGAAATGGAAGCACAAAAAAAGCGAAAAAATTGAAAAATTTAAAAGTCTAAAATCTGAAAATAGAAAAATTGAACAATGAAAAAATCAAAAAATCGAAATCTCGACAAATCGAGAAGTGGAAAGTCCGAAATTTAAAAAAATCACAAAAATTGAAAAATCAGAAAACTGAAAAAAGGAAGAACAGAAAAACCGAAACATCGAAAATTTAGAAAATTCAAAAACTGAAACCTCGGGAAATCGAAACATGAAAAGATAGAGAAATCGAAATAATGAAATTTCGATAAATCGATCATTGGAAAAACTGAAAAATGGACATATTGAAAAATCGATAAACCGAAAAATCTAACACCGAGAAACCAAAAAATCGGAAGATCGAGAAATCGAAACATTAAAAACTTGAAAAACTAAAAATTAAAATCCGAAAAATTGTAAAAAAGTGTCGAAGAACTGAAAAATCGAAATCGGAATCGAGAAATCGAAAAATCGAGAAATCAAAATATGGAAAAATTGAAAAATCCCAAAACTGAAATATCGAAAAATTAAAAAATCGAGAAATTCAAAGTCGAATTATCAAAGTCGAAAACTCGAAAATTTAAAAAATTCAATAATTAAACATTCAAAAATCCAACAACTGAAAGATCAATAAAACGAAAAATCTAAAACTGAAAAATCGAAATACAGAAAAATCGAAAAATCGAATCATCAAAAACCTGAAATATCCAAAATGTAAAAATTCGAAAAATTGAAGAATAAGTTAGAAGAACGGAAAAATCGAAAAATTTAATATTTTAAAAAGTTAATTATTAAAAGACCGAAACATTTAAAAATCAATAATTGGAATAATTGAAAAATGCAGAAAACCAAAACTTTAGAAATCGAAAAATCGAAAAATTGAAGAATCGAAATATTGATAAATCCCAAAACTGAAATATCGAAAAATTAAACAATCGAGAAATCGAAAGTCGAAAATTGAAACATTCAAAAATTATACATTAAAATTCGAAAAAATCGAAAAATTCAAAAATCGAAAAATCGAAGAGTCGGGAAATTAAGATATAGGAAAATCAAAAAATCGATTAATCGAGAAATTGAGAAATCGAAAAATAAAAAATTTAAATCCTCTAAATTGAAAAATTGAAAATTCGAAAGATTTCAAAATTGAAAAATTTAAATAACGTAAAACTGAAACATCCAAAATTGAGAAATCGAAAATTTGAAGAACCAAAAAATTGAAACATCTCGACACTAAAATCGGAAAATTAAAAATCGAGAAATCGAAAAGTCGAAATATCGAATTCGAAAAAGCGAAAATTTTAAAAATTCAAAAGTTAAAAAATCGAAAATCGCAAAAATCTAAAAATTGAAGAATTCAAAAATCGAAAAAATCGAAAAACTGAAGGATTGAAACATTAAAAAGTCGGGAAATCAAGAAAAGGGAAAATCAAAAATCGATTAAACGAGAAATTGAGAAATCGAAAAATTGAAAATCTAGAAACGTCAACTGAAAAATTGTAAAATCGAAAATTTCAAAATCCAAAAATTGAACAGTCGAAAAATTGAAACATCAGAAAATTGAGCTATCGAAAAATGAAAAAATTAGGAAATTTAAAATTTGAATAATCAAGAAATTGAAGAATAAAAAAATTGAAAAATCCCATTACTGAAATATTGAAAAATTGAGTAAAATCGAAAAATTAAAAATTGAAAAATCCAAAAATCTAGAAAACGAAATCGTAATAAATGGAACTCCAAAAATCTAAAAATTGAAAATTCGAAAAATCGAAAATCTTAAAAATCGAAAATTTAAAAAAATCAAAAATTTGAAAAATCGAAAAATTGAGGAATTGAAAAAGTTAAAGATCGAAACATTGAAAAAGTCGGGAAATGAAGAAAAGAAAAAATCAAAAATCGATTTAATCGAGAAATTGAGAAATCGAAAAATTGAAAATCTAGAAACGTCAACTGAAAAATTGTAAAATCAAAAAATTTCAAAATCCAAAAATTGAATAGTCGAAAAATTGAAAAATCGTAAAAAATCGTAGAAAATTGGGATATTGAAAAATGAAAAAATTAGGAAATTTAAAATTTGAAGAATCAAGACATTGAAGAATGAAAAAATTGAAAAATTCCAATACTGAAATATTGAAAAATTGAGTAAAATCGAAAAATTAAAAATTGAAAAATCCAAAAATCTAGAAAACGAAGTCGTAATAAAAAGAACTCCAAAAATTTAAAAATTGAAAATTCGAAAAATCGAAAATCTTAAAAATCCAAAATTTTAAAAAGTCAAAAATTTGAAAAATTGAAAAATTAAGGAATTGAAAAACTTAAAGATCGAAGGATTTAAAAAGTTGGGAAATCAAGAAAAGGGAGAGTCAAAAATCGATTAATCGAGAAATTAAAAAATCGAAAATCTGAAAATTTAGAAACGTCAAAAATTAAAAATTTTCAAGATCGAAAAAATGAAAGTTCGAAAAATTGAGAAATCGAAAGATGAAAAAATCGGTAAATAGAAAATTTAAAGAACTAAGAAAGTGAAGAATTGAAAAAATTGAAAAATTCCAACATTACTAAAATATCGAAAAATTGAGAATCGAGAAATCGAAAAGTCAAAAAATCGAAAAATCTAAAAAAAACGAAGTAATAAAGAGAACTCCAAAAATAGAAAAATCGACAATTCGAAAACTCGAAAATTTTAAAAATTCAAAAATTAAAAAACTGAAAAATCGAAAGGTCGGGAAATCAAGAAACAGGAAAATCAAAAAATCGATTGAGAAATTCAAAAATTAAAAATTTGAATTCTCAAAATTGAAAAATTGAAAATTCGAAAAATTTCAAAATAGAAAAATTGAAATAATGTAAAACTGGAACATTGAAAAATTGGGAAATCGAAAATTGAAAAAATCGAGAAATCGAAAATTTGAAGAACCAAAAAATTGAAGAATCAAAAAATCTCGACCCTAAAATATCGAAAATGAGTAATCGAAATGTCGAAAAATCGAAGTCGAACAATCGAAAATTTTAAAAACTCAAAAATTAAAAAATCAGAAATCTCAAATATCGGAAAATTGAAGAAATCAAAAACTAAAGATTGAAACATCGAAAAAGTTGGGAATTCAAGAAAAGGAAAAATCAAAAATCCATTCAACGAAAAATTGTAAAATCGAAAAATTGCAAAATCTAAAAATTGAAAAATCCTAAAATTGAAGCATCAGAAAATTGAGATATCGGAAAATGAAAAAAATTAGGAAATGTCAAATTTGAATAATCACGTTATTAAAGAATCAAAAAATTGAAAAATCCTAATACTGAGATATTGAAAAATTGAGTAAAATCGAAAAATTAGAAACTGTCAAATTCAAAAATCTAGAAATCGAAGTCGTAATAAAAAGAAGTCCAAAAATTAAAAATCGAAAACTCGAAAAATCAAAAATTTTAAAAATCGAAAATTAAAAAAAATCAAAATTGAGGAATTGAAAAACTTAAAGATTGAAACATTGAAAAAGTCGGGAAATGAAGAAAAGAAAAATCAAAAATCGATTAATCGAAAAATTGAGGAATCGAAAAACTGAAAATTTAGAAACATCAAAAATTGAACATTTTCAAAATCGAACATTTGATAAATTTCAAAATCGAAAAATGGAATAATCGAAGAAGTGGAACACCGAAAATCAAGAAAACGAAAAGTCAAAAAATCTAAAAATCTAAAAATCGAAGTAATAAAGAGCAGTCCAAAAATAGAAATATCGAAAAGTCGAAAACCCGAAAATTTTAAAAATTCAAAAATTAAAAAATCAAAAATCTGAATAATTAAAAAATTGGTGAATTGAAAAACTGAAAAATTGAAAAATTGAAGAATTGAAATTCAAAATCGAAAAATTCGAGAGTCGAGAAATTGAATAATCCTAAAAGTCATACATCGGAAAATTGAGGAATGCAATCATGAATAATCGAGAAATCGAAAATTTGAAATATCAAGAAACTGAAAAATTAAAAATTGACAAATCGAGAAATCGAAAGAAAAATCGAAAAATCCAAAAATCGAAAAACGAAATCTTAATAAAAAGAAAAACAAAATTCAAACCATCAAAAAGTAAAAAAAAAAAATTTAAATTTGGCAAATTCACAAACCGAATATGTAGCGGGGAAATCGAAAAACCGAAAAATTTTGAGAATTTACGATTTTGATTTGTTTTCCAAAAATCTCGATGTCTATGATATAAATTCAACACGGGTTCATAAACCACAATTTCAGGACTTTGTTACTTTTTAACATTTAAATAACATTGGTCCTACAAAATTTTAAGTAAGGGGGATATGAACGGATAAATTTTTATTAACGATTTACCATGCTCATATTATTATATTGTAAAATGTTGTTATAAAATTTTCATTTTTTTCCAAAAGTCTGGATCCCTAAAGGTGAAAATTGAACACGTATTAATAAGTCACAAATCGAGTAGGTTATTTTATAAAATTTATCATTGTTGATGGAATGAGCAGACAAAATTTAACAACAGTCGGTCCCGTAGTTTCGGAGATTATCTGTCTAATAAATACTCAGACAAATGGTAATCGCCAGTTGGACTCGATTACAATACTTCCTTAGCTTGCGCTCGTGAAGACAAAAAAATATTTTTTCTTTAAGAAAAAAAGCAATTCATTACAATTTTCAAATTTAAAATATAAACAAGATGAAACAATTTGAGATATTTTGTTGTCGTATTTTTGTTAGGAGATTTACCGGGTCATCATTTTTAGAGCAACTCCTATAAATTTATTATTGTTTTTCGAAAGATCTGTAAATATGTAGTTTGAGCAAGTCCCCTGTCCCCATTGTTTGTAGTTTCACTAATTAATTAAAAATGAATGAGAAAAACAGATCTCATCGATTAAATAATAGGATCAAGCATGCAACGGAACCATGTCACGTTGTTTTATAAATTGTCGCGATTAATTCACACGTCAAACCACAATATTTTCCCCAAACCAGAAACGAGACGTTAAATATTAAAAATTCCCATTTTCGTCGGACACACAAAATCGTAATCTTCCAATCCGCGTCATGTTCCCACTTTCCAGAACCTGCATAATATCCGTCATTAAATATTAAACACCCCGTTTTTAATGGAATTGATTTTACTGAATCGGTGAATGTCACGGTGTGACATTTACCCATTCAAGCCCACAGTCTGCGTTTCGGCGCCTATTAAATTGAAGAATTAGGTTATCACGAGTTTCTATACGCGAGTAAACAGTTATTAGTTTACGAAGCTCCGAAGCAGATTTTTTCGGAGCTTTTAGCCGAGCTTTCGCGAAAATACATTGAATGGAGCGAAAAACGTCTAGCCCTCGAAACCCAAAGTGCATGCTTGAGGCTCAGCCCAACGAGATTCATTAAGAAAAGCGGGAAGAACGTAAACATTTTCGCGCTTTTCTCGTGTAACGGGTTTATGTTTCTGGAATATTTACGTGCGCGAAAACGCGCGTTTTCACGGGAAATTGATTCCAGGGTTCGAAAACAGCATTGTCTAATTACTCCATGGCGTGGAGAATCGAAAACTTCAACAGGTATTGATCCTAAAAATACCCTGTCATGCGCTAGTAGCTGTGTTAATAGACACACCTGAATACTATGGAATAGTACGAAATAATCGATAGATTCGATGGAGGAAATTTCTGACTCGGCGCGCTCGAAGGTCCTTCACCTCCTCGTTAAATTATTCGCAACGCTGATTGTTTGTCGATGTTATTGTTTTATTTGTTTCAGGGGAACATCTGGCAACAGCTGCTATCCTTTCATTTTATCTTAGAAATTGTGAATACTATTCCATTTACATTAACGGTAAGCGGACTGCTGTTTGGATTTGTTCGAGCGTTGATTCTTGTCTTGTTGCAGATTTTTTATCCCCCGTTGAGGAATCTCTTCATTCCAGTATTCCTAAATTGTTGGTTAGCGAAACATGCGTTAGAAAATATGTTCGTAAGTATCTGAAAAATACCCGTCGAATTAGTATGATTTGCATTGTTAAAATATAAATGAACTGAAATGCGATTTAATTTATGCTTAGTAGCTCAGTCGATACGTCGTAATCTATTTTTCATCGTATCTATAATTTAAGACTTCGTTATGAATGACTAGGATAAACTTAGAACTAAACGTTTGACATTTTGAATTTTTAATGGTTTGCTTCTTAGAGAATACGCTAGACGGAGGAAACTTATCTGGGACAGTCTATCAATTTTTAACAATTGACATAAACACTGTGGTTGTTGACATTTGAACGTTTGATGAATAACTCAGAAATGGAAAAATCGTGGCGTGAATCGCGTTTCTAACGTCAGATATTTATTACACGTTGTGTCGATGATTTTTAAAATTTAAATATGGTATAGAATATTCCAACAGTCGTCTGACGGCTAGTTTGCGTCTGCAACCGCAGCCTGTAATTATTTTTTACGTACATCTCTGAATCAACAACATTTGACATCTCTGAGTCAGCGAAATTTGATACTGCTTGCTCAGAATAATTTAGTGCCGCTAAATCAGCGTAATTTCACAAAGCGTGATCTCGTTTCCATTTCACTACCCAAAGAATTCAAAGTTTTACAATTTGTTCCCGGATTTTGTATGTGTTGACAAAAAACAGATATTTTATAAATTATGAAAAACATATTCTTTAAAATAAAACACCAGATAAAATTAAAATATCATTTAAAATTTTTACAAAGTCAAAACATCCGCGGCTCCCAAAACTCTAAAATTAAAGAATAAAACACCCAAGATTTTTTAAAATATTTTCAAAATCAAACACCAAAGGTTTTTAAATTCTTCAAGGAATAAAACACCTGGATTCACCAAGACTTTTAAATTGTTCAATCAGGAACCACTGTTTTAAATTCTTTACAGAATAAAACACTTGAAATTATCCTAAATTCTTAAAAAATCCACCAGGGTTCTTTACAGTTCTTTCAACATATTTCAAAATAGAACACCAAGGGTTCCCAAAATCGTTTCAAATTTTTTCAAAAATAAGACACCCGAACCTCCCAAGATTCTTTAAATTTTTTTATTTTAAATATTTTAAAGGATAAAACACAAGAAATCTCCAAGAATTCTTTCATTTTTTTATATAAAAAGTTAGGCTCCCCTAAAAGCCCTTAAAATTTTTCAAAAACAAAATACCTGGGACCCTCAAAATTCTTTTAAAATCTGTAAAGAATTAAATCCCAGAAGTCTTCAAGATTTCTTAAATTATTTTCAAAACAAAACACCAAAAGCTCTCGACATCTTTTCAAATTTTTTCAAAGATGGAACAATTATCAAGCTTTTTAAAAATCATTTGAGAAATAAAGCACTCGGAACCCCTACCATTCATTTAAATTCTTATAAAATATGGGGGTTTCTTAAGATTCTTTAAAATTATTTCAAAAAGAAAGCTGCTGGAACATGCAAGATTAGTTTAAAAACTTTAAAAAATAAAACACCTGCAACCACCAACACTTTTTTAAATTCTTTAAAAAATAAAACACGAAGAATTTGGAGATTTTTAAAATCATTTAAAAAACAGGAATCCCAAGATTTTTTCAATATTTTTCAAAATAAGACACCTAAGATCATTTAAAATTTTTACAAAAATTAAATGCCCGAAGCTCCCAAAACTTTTTAAAATTATTGTAAAAACACCTCGAATCTTTTAAATTCTATAAAGAATCAAACACAGGAACACCGAAACTCTTTCAAATTCTTTAAAGAATAAAACATTAGAGAGCTCCCCAAAATTCTTTAATTTTTTTTTTTTTAATAAAACACCCGGAGCTCCCAAAATCTGCTTAAAATTTTTAAAAAATTAAACCCCAGGGGTCCTCAAGATTTCTTAAACTCTTTTCAAAATGAAACACCAAAAGCTCTCGAGATTCTTTTAAATTTTTTCAAATATAAAACACCGAGGAATATCAAGATTTTTAAAAATGATTTCAAAAATAAAGCTGCAACATGCAAGGTTAATTTGAAAGCTTTAAAGAATAAAACAGCAAAGCTCCCGAGGTCCTTTTCATTTAAAAAAAAATAAAACACCTGCAACCACCAAGACTCTTTTAAATTCTTTAAAACATAAAACACCAGAGGCTCTCAAGATTCTTTAAAATTATTTCAAAATAAACATTCTGGGACGTAGAATACATTTTATAATTCTTTAAAAAATAAAACACCCAAGACTCTTTAAAATATTTTCAAAATTAAACAGCAAAGGTTCCTGAAATTCTTTCAATTTTTTTTAAAGTCTGTTGAGCTTCTTGAAAATTGTTTTAAAAATAAAACACCCGGAATCCCCAAGATACTTTAAAATTCTTAAAAAAAAATACGACTACCTACGTTCCTTTTCATTTTTTCCAAATAAAATACCACGGGTTTCCGAGATTCTTTTAAATTTTCTTAGTTATAAAACACTATGGGCTCTCAAAATTATTTTAAATTAGTTCAAAATACAGGTTCCGGAACGTGCAAGATTCTTCTAAAGTGTTTAAGGAATTAAACACAAAAGGAACCCCAAGATTCTTTTAAATTCTTCAAAGAATAAAACACCTGGATCCACCAAGACTTAAATTTTTCAACTGGGAACCACTGTTTTAAATTCTTTAAAAAATAAAACACTGAGAGTCTTAAAAAGCTACCAGGGTTCTTCACAATTCTTTCCACATTTTTCAAAATAAAACACCATAGGTTCCCAAAATCGTTTCAAATTTTGTTAAAAATAGAACACCCGAACCTCCCAAGATTTTTTAAAATTATTTCAAAAACAAAACACCTGAAACCCCCAAGATTCTTCAATTTTTTTTCTTTCAAATTATTTAAAGAATAAAACAGCAAAAACCTCCAAATTTTGTTTCATTTTCTTTTATATAAAAGGTTAGGGTCTCCTAAAATTCCTTAAAATTTTAAAAAAATAAAATGCCTGGAACCCCAAAAATTCTTTTAGAATCTTTAAAGAATTAAACTCCAGAAGTCCTCAAAATTTCTGAAATTATTTTCAAAATAAAACACCAAAAGTTGTCGAGATCTTTTTAAATTTTTTCAAAGATAAAGCACGGGGGGTTATTAAGGTTCTTAAAAATTATTTGAAAAAAAAAGCACTCGGGACTCCTAACATTCATTTAAATTCTTATAAAACATGAAGGGTTTCTTAAGATTCTTTAAAATTATTTCAAAAATAAAGCTGCTGGAACATGCAAGATTAGTTAAAAGCTTTAAAAAATAAAACACGAAGAACTCGGAAATTTTTAAAATCATTTAAAAAAAACAGGAATCCCAAGTTTTTCTCAATATTTTTCAAAATAAAACACCAGGGGTTCCTAAGATCATTTCAAATTTTTACAAAAATGAGGAACACCCGAAGCTCCCAAAACTTTTTAAATTTATTTTAAAAACACCTCAAACCCTCAAGATTATTTTTAAAATCTTTTAAAGAACAAACTCCTTGAGAATCTTTTAAACTCTATAAAGAAAAAAAGAAAATCACCCACAGGAACCCCGAAACTCTTTCAAGTTCTTTAAAGAGAACGCCCCACATTTTAAAATTTTTTTTTTAATAAAACATTAGGGCCTCTAAAATCCCTTAAAATTTCTCAAAAATAAAAAAAAATCGTTTAAAATCATTAAAGAATTAAACCCCAGGGGTCCTGAACATTTCTTAAATTATTTTCAAAATGAAACACTAAAAGCTCTCGAGATTCTTTTAAATTTTTTCAAAAATAAAGCTCCTGGAACATGCGAGTTTAATTTGAAAGCTTTAAAGAATAAAACAGCAAAAGCTCCTGAGACCCTTTTCAGTTTTTAAAAAATAAAACACCTGCAACCACCAAGACTCTTTTAAATTCTTTAAAAAGTAAAATACTCAGAACCCCGAAATTTTTCAAAATTATTTAGAAAAAAGCAGGAAATCCAAGATTCTCTCAATATTTTTCAAAATAAAACACCAAGTGTTTCTACGATCATTTAAAATTTTTACAAAATGAAACACCCGAAGCTCCCAAAACTTTTAAAAATTATTTCAAAAACACCTGAAACCCTCAAGATTCTTTTTAAAATCTTTTGACGTACAAACTCCAAGGGCCCCTTGAAAATTTTTTTAAATTTTATAGAGAATCAAACACAGGAACCTCGGAATTATTTCAAATTCTTTAAAGAATAAACACCAGAAAGCTCCCCAAAATTCTTTAATTTTTTTAAATAAAACTTTAGGGCTCCTAAAATCTGTTAAAATTTTTCAAAAATAAAATACCCGGAGCCCCAAAATCCTTTTAGAATCTTTGAAGAAATCCCAAGAGTCCTCAAGATTTTTCTTAAATTATTTTCAAAATGAAACACCAAAATCTCTCGAGATTCTTTTAAATTTTTTCAAATACAAAACACTCCCAAAATTCTTTAAAATTATTTCAAAAATGAAGCTCCTGCAAGATGCAAGATTAGTTTAAATGGTTTAAAGAATAAAACACCAAAGGTTGCCGAGATCCTTTTAAATTAAAAAAAAAATAAAACACCTGCAACTACCAAGACTCTTCCAATTTCTTTCAAAAATAAAACACCAGGAGCCCGAGATTTCTTCAAATGATTTAAAATAAAAAAACACCAGTGATCCCAAGATTCTTTCAGTACTTTTGAAAATAAAACACCAAGGGGTCCGAAAATCGTTTCGAATTTTTACAAAGATAAAACACCCTAATCCCAAAACTCTTTAAAATCATTTGAAAAATAAAACACATGAAACACTCAAGATCCTTTTAAATTTTTTAAGAACAAAATTCCAAGGGTACCTTAAGATCCTTTTAATTTTTTTAAAGAATGAAATACCAGGAGTACCCAAGATTATTTAAATTATTTTCAAAATTAAAGACTAAAGGCTGGCGGAATTCTTTTTTTTTCAAAGGTACAGCACCAGGGGCTGTCAAGATTTTTAAAAATTATTTCAACAATAAAACAGCCGAAATTTCCAAGATTCTTTAAAATTATTTTCAAAATTAAACTCCTAAGGCCGTCTAGATGCTTTTAAATTTTTTTCAAAAATAAAACACTCAGAACCTCGACGATAATTTTAAACTCTTTAAAGAAGAACTAAGGGCTCCTAGATATTCTTTTAAATCCCTAAAAAAAACAGGGGCTTCTAAGATTTTTTTTATAAAATAGCAAGGAGTTCCAAGATCCTCTTAATTTTTTTTTAAAATTAAACACCAAGTGCCCTTGAGTTCCCTTTAAATTCTGAAAACAATAAAACACGGGAGCTGAAGATTTCTTTTTTCCTATTCTTTACAGAGTAAAACACCATGTGTCTCCCAGATTCTTTAAATTATTTTCAAAATTAATTACCAAAGGATTTCGAAATACTTTTAAGTTATTTGAAAAATAAAACACTCAGAATCCCCAAGATTGTTTTCAATTTTTTAAAGAATAAAACACTAAGACCCCCATGAGATTCTTTATAATTCTTTAAAGAAAAAAACATTAGGAGTGCCTAAGATTCTCTAAAGAATGAACCACTAAGAGGCTTGAAATTACTTTGAATTGTTAAAAAAAACACCAGGGATGTCCACGATTCTTTCAATATTTTCCAAAATCAAACACCAAGAGTTTTCAAGATTGATTAAAATTATTTGAAAACTGAAACACCAGAAACCTCCAAGATTCCTTTTTTTTTTCATAAAACTCCAAGGACCCCTTGAGAATTCTTCAAATTCTTTAAAGAATAAAACACCAGGGCTCCCTAAGAATCTTTTTTTTCAAAATAAATCATTGGGGACTCCTAAAATCCCTTTATATTTTTCAAAAGTAAAACACCCTTAACCACCAAGACTCTTTTAAATTTTTTAAAGAATAAAATATTAAAGACCCTTAAATTACTTTAATTTCTTAAAAAAAACATCAGAGATTTTCACAATTCTTTCAATATTTTTCAAAACTGAACAACACCAAAGGCTTCCAAGATTCTTTCATTTTTTTTTTAAATAAAACTTCAAGGACTCCTTGATATTCTCTAAATTCTTTAAGAATTAAAACACCAGGGTTCCCCAAGATTATTTCAATTTTTTTTTTTCAAAATAAATTATTAGGGGCAACTAAAATCCCTTTAATTTGTCAAAAATAAAACAACCCTAGAAATTACTTTAAATCCTTAAAAAACACCAGGGCTGTCACGATTCCTTCAATACTTTTTAAAATAAAACACCAAGGCGCTCCCAAGATCGTTTCAAATTTTTTCAAAGATAAAACACCCCAAGATCCTAAGATTCTTTAAATTTATTTCAAAAGTAAAACATCAGAAATCTGCACGATTCGTTCAAATTTAAAAAAACTCCAGAGGCCCCTTGAGATTTTTTTAATTCTTTAAAGAATAAAACACTAAGAGCTTTGAAATTACTTTAAATTCTTAAGAAAAAAAAAACATTAGGGTTGTACATGACTTTTTCAATATTTTTCAAAATAAAACACCAAGGGCCCCCAAGATTCTTTTAAATAAAACTCCAAGGACCCATTGAGAATTCTTTAAATTCTATAAAGAGTAAAACAGCAGAGCCCCCAGATTGTTTAATTTTTTTTTTATTTTTTATTTTTTTGATAAATCAGCAGAGACTCCTAAGATCCTTTTAAATTTTTCAGAAATAAAACACCCGAAATCAACAAGACTCTTTTACATTCTTTAAGGAATAAAACACTAAAAGCCCTGAAATTACTTTAAATTCTTAAAAAAAACACACTCCACAATTCTTTCAATATTTCTCAAAATTGAACACCAAGCGCTCCCAAGATTCTTTAAACATATTTCAAAAATAAAAACATCAGAAATCTCCAAAATTCCTTTATTATTTTTTTTAATAAAACTCCAAGGACTCCTTGATATCCTCTAAATTCTTTAAGAATCAAAACACTACGGTTCTCCAAGATTATTCAATTTTTTTTTTTCAAAATAAATGATTAAGGGCACCTAGAATCCCTTTAAGTTTTTAAAAAATAAAACAACCGTCACCGCCAAGATTCTTTTAAAGTCTTTAAAGAATAAAAGACTCCTGAGATTAATTTTAAATCCTTAACAAAAACACTAGGGGTCTCCATGATTCTTTCAATATTTTTCAAAATAAAACACCAAGACGCTCCCAAGATCGTTTCAAATTTTTTCAAAGATAAAACACCCCAAACTCCTAAGATTAAACTCCCGGGGCCCCTTGAATTTTTTTAAAGAGTAAAGCACCAGGGCTCCCAAAGATACTTTCAATTTTTTTCTCAAAAAATTTCTCTAAATTTTGCAAAAATAACACACTCAGAACGTCCAAGATTCTTTTGAACCCTTTAAGAATTAAACACCAGGAGTTCTGAAGATTCTTTAAATTATTTTGAAAATAAAACACCAAAGGCTCTCGATTTTTTTTCTTTTTTTAATAAATCACCCGTAACCCCTAACGTTCTTTTAAATTCTTTGAAGGATAAAACACCAAGATCCTCTTAAGAATCTTTTAAATTCTTAAAAAAAAAGGGTATCTAAAATTTTTTCTATTTTTTTTTTTTTCAAAATAAAATACCAAGGTTTTCAGACATGTTTTTGAATTTTTTCAAAAGCAAAATTCTGGAAGTGCAAAATTGGTTTAAAGTCTTAAAAGAATAAAATATAGGAGCTCCGATATTAGTTCAAAACTAAACTAAACACTAAAAGCCCCGAGATTCCTTTAAATTCTTAAAAAAGATACCAGAGATTCTAAGAATTTTTCAATATTTTGCAAAATAAAATACGAAGGGCTCCTTCGATTTGTTTAAAATCTTTTCAAAAGAGAACTTCAAAAATTAAACAGTTTAAACTCTTTTTAAGGTTATCTTACATTTTTAAACTTAAAAACTCCAAGGCTCCTTGAGATTTTTTTAAATTCTTCAAAGAATAAAATGCCAGAGCTCCCCAAGATTTTGATTTTTTTTTTTTAAAAAGTTAAGAACTTCTAAAATCCCTTTAAATATTCCCAAAATAAAACACCCGAAATCCCCAAGATTCTTTCAAATTCTTTAAAAAGAATAAAACACCAGGAGTCCCCGATATCCTTTACATTATTTCCAAAATTAAACACCAATACAACACCTAAGATTCTTTAAAATACTACAAACCTTAAACACCAAGAGCCCAAGATTATTTAAATTATTTCAATAGTAAAGGGACGTGCAAGATTTTTTTAAAATTCTTTAAAGACTAAAACACAGGAGACCCGAAATTCTTTCGAATTCTATAAAAAATAAAATAGAATGGTTCCGAGATTCTTTTACATTTTTTATAAAGCACCGGAACATCCCGAAAAGGCACGAAAATTAAAAAAGTTATTGTCTTTTTTTTATATATTCAAGCGAAACGAGAAACTGGAATACCCGGATTTAATATACCTACACAGTGAGACACGTTTTTAATGACTCGATAACTGAAGTAGTGTTAAAATAAAGCGACAGAGCTTAGAACTATACACTACTAAAAACTGGTGTCTAACGTTTAGTCGGAAAAGTTCATACGTATTCTGACACCTCCCCTTAACACATCCGAAGCTGCAGTACACAATATATTGCCAATTTACTCTGTAATAAGAACCGCAAAAAATTCCTCAGCAGCTCCGCGCAGCGTTCACACAAAAGGCATTCAAGAAATTTCAGCCTAATAAAATTTCACTTCTGATAAAGCTTCAGATGTAAAATTCAGAAGAAAATGTAATCTAAAAGTGACTTAATTCAATACGAAGTTCGCTTTGATATGAAGATTTTCCGCTCTGTACCGCTCGGAATATTTGACAGAACCTCGTTTCGAACTGTGCATCCTTCGCATAATTTATTATTTAGTAAAGCGAGTCACATTAATGTCAACTTGTGTTAGTTCCAAGGTAGACTTCGCCCCATTGGTTCGCATTGTCCTTTTTACGTCGCACTGCTCCATGAAAGCGAACTCATGTAATGGTTTCCTATTGAAAACACAGTCGAAAGCGTTGTGTAACTTGTTTATGAAGAGCCGAGCTTTTGTGGAGCTTGCCCTATTTTTCCGGTTACGTTCCGTCCGGACGCACAAAAGCTCACCTGCATTTAACTCCGGTTGCTTTAATTAAATCTTGCCTCCTCGGCTTTATTTCTTAGCCGCCGGTTCACGATTTTAACGATGCAAATTTAATTGAAGCAGTTCTTCTAATTAGACGTCGAATTTTCATTTAAAACTTTCGTTGTGTAGTTTTGGCAAAAGCCGGATGGACTTTGTAATTGCGGTAGTTGTCGTAGCGACTTCTGTTATCTCATTTTCGTGTTTTATTTTGTTTCAGAACGATCTCCACAGGGCAATGCAGAAATCGCAGTCTGCTTTGTCGCAACAGCTCACGATATTATCCGCAACCCTTGTTTGTCTCGTGTTTACAAGGTAATTGCTTTGTGTGCTAGAAGAGATTTTTATCTTTTTTCCCGCATAATGTTAGCTTAAGCATGCTTATTACGAATCTGCTGCTCTATCTTGCGTATAAATCGGCTGATAAAGCGACAAATTGTGGAATAAAACGGGTATAGTGGGGGTTCTGGTTGAGCGCAATAATTTTGTGTTTACGAGGACTCCGTAGTGGTTTGAAATTACATACATGGATTGCAGCAGCCCCCGTGTGCTCAAATTGTGCGTCAAGCTTCAGAAAAAAATTATAGGGTGTGAAAAGTTTTTAATTTTTTAGGCTTGATTTTTGTATTTCGGTTACAAATTTCATACTGCACAGAAATTATTTTTGTGTACTAATAAAATTTTATGGTCATTTAGGCCAACGATGATCGAACAACTTTGCTCTGGAAACCTACGTAAATTTCAGATTGTAAATATTTAGAAATATCATGATTTAATGACGTGGGAAGTCATTTACTAAAGCACAAACACAAACAACAGGTTAACATAACAACAAATTAAATCCGCCCCTTTTTACCCTTTGCTGACCGCCAAAGTTGGTTTGAGGGTATGTAATTTAGGATTTTACGGATTATGGGCTTCGAATTTTTAATTTTTAGGATATAATATTTTTCCTCCCATTACCAGTTGTAAAAGTTCTGTGGTCTGAAGGAATAGATAAAAAATATTGAAGGTCGAACGTCTGTTCACATTCAAGTTCTTGATCATATAAAAAAGGGAAGATAAATAAAAGAACCTGAAATGGTTCTGAAAACCAGATATATAATAATACATCCGTTAATAATAACAATAATGGCCCTTTATTGATTCATAATAACATTAATAACTAATAAACAGTTTTGGCATAAGTCCACAAATAATGTTATTAAAGCATTATTGAAATTGTTTGGTTGTTTGGAAAAGTGGAAATCCGAAATATAGAACGGACGATTAACACAAAAAAATGAAGCGGTATATTATCTCTGGTTTTTACGGACATGACATTAACTTTTTGTAATGTTATTTGTTCCGTTAAAGATAGATTTATTATTTTTTTCTTAGTTTGTGCTTTCAAATATCTGTTATATATATGATAGTAGATTCATTAAACATGGATACTTCGCAGATATAGTGCCATTTTTTTGCAGTTTTTTCAAAACCTTTTTTTGTCGTTTTACTGGTTTCCGTTGTTTATTACGTTTTTATCGCATTTGCTTTTCCTGTTTTTCGTCTTTTTTCACACGTTTTATAGTGTCTTTTTTATGATGTTTTTGCTTACTTTTGTTTGTCAACTTATATCGTGGGTTTATTGTCACTTTTTTTACATTTATTGTCCTCTTTTTTCTGGCTTTTTGTTTCCTATTCATTCGCCTTTTTTGTCACCGCTTTAATGAGGTTTTTTGTTTTTTTTTTTGTTTTTTTTGTTTTGCTGATTTCCTGTTTTTCGCTTCTTTCCCCTCTTATGTTCCATTGGTTCTCGTCTGTTTACGTATTATTTTGGCGAGTTTTTTGCTTCTTTTTCTGTCCCCCGAATGTTTTTCACGCATTCTTTGTGTTTTTCTTTTGCTTTCTTTTTTTGTTACGTTTTCCTTTCGCCTCTTTTTAATTGTTTTTCATTCAAATCGTTTTTCGTCTTTTTTGTATTTTTTCCCACTTCGTTTCGCTTTTTTTGTCGTGTTTTTATGTTTTTTTTTTTGTCATTTTTGTCGTTTTTTGACTTTCTCTCTTGTGGCGTTTTTTGTCTGCTTTTATTTGTTTCAATTTTGAAATCCATTATTAGTGGCATTTTATTTCTACATTTTTGGTCGCAGCTTTGTTGTGCTTTTTGTTGATTTTTACGTAGATTTTTTTACCGCTTTTCTTGTTATTTTCTTCAACATTTTTTATTGTTTTTTGTGTCTTTTTTGTCTTCTTTCTGTTCGCTTTTTTGTTGCCGTTTTGTTGAAGTTTTTGTCGTTCTTTTGTAGTTTTTTTGTTGATTTTTGTCACTTTTTTTGTTGGTTTCCTGGTTTCCTTTTCCTACTTCGTTTTATTAGCATTTTTTGATGTTTTCGTATTTTAAAAGTCGTAAAATAGTAAAAAATAATTGGATTTTTACCTTTTTTTCACTTTTTGTTCTCTTTTTTTCCGTCTTGTGTACGCATTTTTGTCCATTTTGTGTCTACTTTTATTCATCATTTGTTTATATTTTGTGGGCTTTTTCATTGCCATTTTTTGTCACTATTTTGAAACCCTTTTATTATTTTTCTCTCGTGTTGTTGTCTTTTTTATTGCTTTTTTGTCCCCGTTTTTTCGCCGCTTTTTTTGTTTTTTTATTCCTCTTTCCTGGTGTTCTTTCTTCCGACACGTTTTTTTTGTCGCATTGTTGTTTTTAGTCATTTTTTCCACTTTTTCCTCCTTTGTTTTCGCTTCTTCTATGCCTATTTTTGTTGTGTTTTTTTGTTCCTTTTATTTTGATCTCATTCTTTGTAGGCTTTTTTGTTACCTTTTTTGTTGCTTTTTGTTCTCTCTTTGAGACCCATTTATTGTGTCTCCGTTTTTTATCGCATATTGAAACTATGTTTAGGGACAAAAGGGATTTTCTTGTCTTATCGTAGATTTTTTGTGTTACTTTTTTTATCTTTGCGATTTTCTTATGTTTCTTGTCCTCTTTGTGGCGCTTTTTTTTTGTTCTTTTTTTGCCTTTTATTGCTTTTTTTGTCATTTTTTTGTGTCTTAATTTTTTTGTTTTTTTGTCCTTTTTAACAAACTCCCTCTATCACTTTTTGACGCCTCTTTTTTTAGTCATATTTGTTGTGGTATTTGTTGTAGCTTTCTTTTTTTCGCTATTTTGGAACCCCTCGTTTGTGGAAGAAAGGTTTTTTTGTCTCTTTTAGAGCATTTTCTTTTTTTTTTTGTTGCTTTCTATTTCATACCATTTTTTCGTCGGTTTTTTGTCAGTTTTTTGTCTTTTTTCTGTTCGCTTTTTTGTTGCCGTTTTATTGAAGTTTTATCGTTTTTTTGTTGTTTTTTCTTAATTTTTGTCACATTTTTTTGTTGCTTTTCTGGTTTCCTTTTCCTACTTCGTTTTATTAGCATTTTTTTATGTTTTCGTATTTTAAAAGTCGTAAAATGGTAAAAAAAATGTGTTTTTACCTGTTTTTCACTTCTTTGTCCTCATTTTTTCCGTCTTATGTACGCATTTTTCTACCTTTTTATGTGTCTACTTTTATTCATTATTTATTTATATTTTGTGGGCTTTTTTTACTTTCTTGGATTACTTTTGTGTTAGGTTTTTCTATTTTTTTTTGTTTTGTTTTGTGGTCCCTATTTTTTCTCATTTTTTGTTTTAGTATCCTTTTTGTTGCTTTTTTCTCTATTTGAGACTCATTCATTGTGTCCGTTTTTTATCGATATATTAAAACTATTTTTAGGGGCAAATGGGATTTTCTTGTCTTATCGTAAATTTTTGTCACTTTTTGTGTTACTCTTATTTTTTTTTTCTTTGTAATTTCCTTATGTTTTTTTTGTCCTCTTTGTGGTGCTTTTCTGTGTGTGTGTTTTTTTAATTCACCTTTTTTTGTTGCCGTTTTATTGACGTTCTTTATCGGATTGCTGTTTTTTGAGTTTAATTTTTCTCGCTTTCTTTGTTTCTTTTACGATACGTTTTTTTTTGTCACTTTTTTTATCTTTTTTTAAAGTCATTTTTCGCTTTTTTCTCCTTTTTGTTCCATTGATTTTCGTCTGTTTACCCCATTATTTTGTTGCGTTTTTTTGCCTCTTTTTGTGTCTCCCGATTGTTTTTTGGACTTCTTTGTGGGATTTTTGTTACGTTTTTCTTTCACCTCTTTTTAATTGTTTTTCAATCAAATCGCTTTTCGTCCTTTTTGTATTTTTTCCCACTATTTGTTTTTTTTTTTATTTTTATGGTCTGTTTTTGTAATTTTTTGTCGTTTTTTGGCTTTTTTTTGAGGCGTTCTTTGTCTGCTTTTATTTGTTTCAATTATGAAACATATTTTTTAGGGTAATTTTTTTCTACATTTTTGCTGTGATTTTTGTTGTTTTATCGTCGATTTTTTTATCGCTTTCCTTGTCATTTTTTGTAACATTTTTTATTGTGTTTTGTCTTTTTTGTGTATTCTTTTTGTTCCCTCTTTTTGTCGCCGTTTTATGAAGTTTTTGTCACTTTTTGTTGTTTTTTGTTACTTTTTTTGTCACATTTTGTTTATTGCTTCCCTGGTTTTCTTTTCCTACTTCGTTTTATTAGCATTTTTTTGTGTTTTTAGTCGTATTTTAAAAGTCGTAAAGTTTACTTTTGTGTTAGGTTTTTCCATTTTTCTCCCTTTTTTGTTTTAATACCCTTTAAGTGTCTTTTTTTCGTTTTTACTTCCCGAGTCTAAGCGAAGGAAGTATTGTAATCGAGTCCGTCGGCTGACTCAATACTTTTACGTTTTCTCGACCTTTCATGACTCCTACAAGACGAGAAATAGGTCCCCCGTTTCCGTCTGTCTGTCTGTCCGTCTGTCCGTCTGACCGTTTGTCCGTCTGTCCGTCTGTTCGTCTGTTCGTCTGTTCGTCTGTTCGTCTGTCTGCCGTCACGGATTTTTATTAAACAGATGATCTCCGAAAATACTGGGCCGATTGTTGTCAAATTTTGTATTTAGGACTATATTAGGAATATCATGTAGATGGAAAACGCTAACCAAAATTTCGTTAATCATTCCCACCACTAATGCGATGACGTCACTTCAAAATTGTACATAGCAAAGGGGTTTTAAATTGTATAAAATAACTTAGTCTTAAACATGTAGTGTATGACTCCGAATAGAGTTTTTACCCAAAATGTCCAGATTTTTGGAAAAAAAATCAAAATTATAAAACAACATTTTGCAATTTAATTTTGAATCTGCTAAACCGAATGCTTTGATATCTTGCTGATGTTTTAAGGTTATAAAGAGCATAATAAATTTTTAGTCAAAATATATTTGCTTATCCCCTCAAAAAAATTCATGACGTCA